GCCTGGTCCCATCTTACCCCAATGGGGTAAGATGGGACCAGCTCACTTTTCTTAATCTGTACAGAAAACTGTGTTAGATGCAAAACGTCTGAGTTGTAGCTTAGAAGCCCATTGCATAACTGCACCTTGTGATAGGTTTAGGTTTTTTTAGTTATTCATGGTATAGATGCTACAGGCTTGTTAGTGATTTCAGTCCTGTCTTACCCCATCTGACTATATAATATGATAATGTATCTTATGTATGGATATGGTAATATATCAATAAGGGGAAAACAAGTGAAAAACAGAAAATGTCATTTATTCTGCATCTTCATCATCTACAAAGGAAGAGGAGGACTTCAGAGTACTGTTAGAGTGTTAGTAATGGATGAGTACCTACACTTTACATGCTTCAAACATTTTAAAATTGAGTTTTATTTCAAGTGTCCTGATTACCCCGTTCCCAGGGGTGATTCGGGATGCTTTTATTTTGCATCTTGCATCTTACATATAGCATATGAAATTTTTTTGAAGATGCCATTTGATAGCCCTTACAAAGAGCTTTAAAATAAGTCCAAACTTGTTTATGAAATGCTTAATGGTAAGAAGTTATTAACGAAAAATGCTCAAAACCATCCCTTATTACCCCATTTGACGGTACATCATCAGAAATCAACACCAATGCATTTTTAGCAACTTGAATGCCATCATGACTATGCAAGTAATCTGTGTATTTGGTATTTTATATTGATAACCTTTTTTGTGCAGTGTAAATGTAAACCATGGTGCAATTACTGTTTTCACCAATTATAATTTAGAAATGTGGAGAAATAATTGAGCAGTTTTAGCTTCAATGACATAAAATAAGCTCCTTGGATATTTTGAAAGTATATTTTATTTTCCTATCAAAACAATGTCATGATCATCATCATTAGAAATACATATGCATCAAGAAAATGCAATAGAAAGTTTTACAAACCAAGCACCAATGGTAACTCCACTTTTAAATTTTAAAGGTTTGAAAACTGATTTGTAGTTTCAAGTGATTATTTTGAAAAATTTTCATTGCTATGATTTATTCAGCTCCCAGGGTTATTGAAGGTTCAAATGACAGTAAATATAAAAGGGCAGTTTTTGGTAGTAGTACCTTCTAGCACCCCTGGCTGATGCTTTTGTCCAATGACTCTTTCCAATATTACTGTAATTACTACGTAGTAGCTCATTTTTTTGAGCTAGCTCAGTTTTGAGCTACAATTTTGAGACAATTTGGTTTGCCAATTTTTGCAAACTACTTTGGCAGGAAATTTTAATTGTACAGCTTATTTCCTTCAAGGTAATGAGCCAGTAATTGCTGCTTTCATTGCTGCTTTCAGACTCTAAACTCTAGAAGATGTGTATGCTATAACTATTTCAACTTTTAGTCAATAATTTAGTTATTTATAATGAAGTGGTGGAAAAATTTTTCATTTAGCAGCAGAGAAATGCTCAAGCTGCTGAGCATTGCTGGAACTGCTGGAAGCATTGGCTATGCTTCAGCTCTTCATCACGCAGCTATTGATGACCAAAGAAGGAAGTATGATGGTAAATCCATACAGCTTTACTGAATTATAATTTTTATATGGCCTTAAATTAGGAGTTGATTCAATATTTCAATGTCCTAAGGGATCTTATTTCAATAAGCTTTCGATATAATGTCAGGGTTTGAATGTAACTTGTCTATAAATAGAACTATAATGTAACTATAATGAACAAAGAATATAAATAAAAAGAACAAAGTATGGTCCCAGATCCACACGTGCCTAATCTGTGATCGGATGATATGTAACTATAAAATTTGTTGTTTCTATTCTTCAGATTCTGTATTTCAAGTGGAAAGAGATGAATCAGTAGCTGTGTTTCCTCCATCTCTGTTCTCACGAGTGTCTGCAGCAACAAAAGTAAAAGACTCCTTGATTATCCATCAGGCAAATGTGATTCCTGAACCATCTCAAAATGCTCCCAGAATTTCTCAGGTAAGAAAGTTTTAATGTCCTCATATTGCATCATGAGCTTTGAAGTTTTTCTTAGAATAAGCATAAGAAAATATCTTGCGAATGTTGCCCTGAGTCTTTCTGATATGGCAAAGTTTTCCAATCTCATAGCAACTTTATCTTGTAAATGAAGCATGTGCTGTGAGATACTACATCAGTATACAATGTAGGCAATAAATCCAATTTATCCAATGAAATATGATCATAATTTTGCAAAATGAGCAGTCATGTAAGTGAAGATATTGCTCATTATTGGGTTTTATTAAGCCATGTTGCTGTGTATCTTGTGTTTTTGTGATTGAATTGCTTGCTTGCAAAGAAAGCATATAAATGTAAATTGTATTGTTTTGTTATTGTACAAAAAATAAGATTTGTACTCCATTTACAGATCATGCGTTATGGCTTCCCCAGCTTATCCAACATCCGTTCTTTAGATGACTTTGTATTAGCCTATGACACACGCTTGAGGATTCCACAGTGGGTGTTCGAACACCTCACTCCAGCCTCGGTGGCTAAAAATGATCAAGTGGACCGTTCAAAATGTGACTTCCATGAAGATGGTTCAGTGCATCAATACTTCAGGTTTGTTCAAAATGTGACTTTCATGAAGATGGTTCAGTGCATCAATATTTCAGGTCTGTTCAAAATGTGACTTTCATGAAGACGGTTCAGTGCATCAATATTTCAGGTNAGGTATACCGTATCTTGTTTCATCTTGCTACTCACGTACGTATACCGTATCTTGTTTCATCTTGCTACTCACGTAGGTATACCGTATCTTGTTTCATCTTGCTACTCACGTACGTATACCGTATCTTGTTTCATCTTGCTACTCACGTAGGTATACCGTATCTTGTTTCATCTTGCTACTCACGTACGTATACCGTATCTTGTTTCATCTTGCTACTCACGTAGGTATACCGTATCTTGTTTCATCTTGCTACTCACGTACGTATACCGTATCTTGTTTCATCTTGCTACTCACGTACGTATACCGTATCTTGTTTCATCTTGCTACTCACGTACGTATACGGCACCGTATCTTGTTTCATCTTGCTACTCACGTAGGTTGATTTGTGGACTCCTAATTATGGTTGATGTTTCCAAGATTTAAATATTAATAATTTGCGAGACCTCATTCCCCTTAATGAAAGATTCCAATCCCAAACTAAATATTGAGTTAATGAACCAGGAAATGTGAGTGCAAAAATGCGCTGAAGATTTGCATACTTTTTGTCGTTGAAAGACTAAACTTTTTGACAGGTTGGCAAAGGTTTTAACCGCGACAAATGGAATGAATTAGAGCAATACTGTCGGAAACTGGTGCGTCAGAGCCGCAATGTGTACGTGTGCACTGGACCGCTGTTCCTGCCTCGCAAGGCTGATGATGGCAAGCTTTATGTCAACTATCGGGTGCTGGGTGATAACCACGTCGCTGTCCCCACACATTTCTTTAAAGTGAGTTTGTCTGGGTTATGCCGTGGCAGGTACACTGTTAGAAAAATTACCGTTAACGGTATTACCGGCGTTTCAGTGGCCGGTCGGCACGTGAAAAGAAACACCGTGTCGCCGTTTTTATTCTAATTTGACACTAGAAATCCGTAAAACATATGATAAAAACAGCGAAAGTTTATTTCCACGATGCGACCGGCCACTAGAACGCCAGTGGGGCCGTTTTTTTCACCGTTTTTTCTAACAGTGTAGCAAGCGCATGACGGGGATGCTAGACTTTGATATGATGCGTAGAACTTTTTCATCGCTTTTACCGTCAAACCCTGGAGAAAATTTAGGAATTGATGTTGGAGAGATGTAATTATTAAGCTTGTTGATAAAGATAACATTGAAATTTGGCAACTGGGCTGATTAATTAAACTGTAAGCCTGATCATATTATATCTTGAATCTGACGAGTTTTATTTTAATTAATGTGAAGATTTTATTATATGTTATACCGGGTATAACTCTTGCTGTGACGCAGTGCGGCAAAATAGAGATCACCGTCATCTTAGTGTAATTTGGTTATATTTTTATAAAGCTATGTCTAAAATGTTTGGTATATACCTACATTATAAGCTTAGTTATATTTTTATATAGCTATGTCTAAAACGTTTGGCAGATACATTATAAGTTTGCATTCATGTTAATGAATTAAGTTTTTCGCAGGTTGTTGTATGCGAGAGTGAGTCTGGCGAACTCTCCATGGAGTCATTTTTGATGCCTAACGCCGCCATTGATGACGCCGTCCCACTGAAGACTTTCCACGTAAGTCACGTAATTAGTGACTGTAATTAGTGGCGGACTTTCCACGTAAGTCACGTAATTATTGACCATCATGAGAATGGGACTTCGCAATTTCTGAGAGTATCTTGAATGAATCAAAGTTCGTTGTAAAATGTACATTTTTAACGAGATTGCCACTACAAATGCTTTCTGATCACGTTTGATGATAGGTAGTTGAGTTTGCTCACGAACTGAGTTACTTCTGTTAACCGTCGACATATTTTATTGGTACATTTCTTTTGCTAACTTATCATGATATAAGAAGGCAACAATGATGTTCACGATAAAAAGCGGCATAGTATAAGTTGTTGGTATTTGTTTGTGACAAGTTACGAGTTGTAATGTTTAATGTTAGGTGCCGTGACTCTTGCCTTGTGAGCCATCGCTGTTCTGGGCCCATACTTTCAAAATAAGCTAAGAGATCGTAAGTTCATCAGCCAATCATTGACGGCCTTTCAATCAAAATCCACCAATCATGGACAAGAAAATAGTGCGTAAGTACTTACGTTCACTTAGCGAATTTTGAAAGTATGGCCCCTGAACATTTTGTCTGTTGCAGGTTCCGTCCGAGGTTATAGAGAGGGCTTCTGGGCTGCTGCTCTTCGACCAACTTAACAAGAAACAATTCAAACTAATTAATGGAAAAAGTGCTGCATGGATTTAGTTTATGCTAACGGTCATTGTTACCGATAAAATATTGTTCACGACAATTAATTCTGACTAGAATTGAAATATGGAGCGTAAATTTAAAATGGAGCGTAAATGGGTGAGCGCACTGATCACACGCTATATTTGGCCACTCTACGTTTGTACTCAAACATGAATTTGATATGAAGTATCTCAGCTATGTCAAATTCTCTGCATTGCGAAAGTTATCCTTATGTTGAAAAAATCGTAGGAAATTGTACTATCCTTTCTGCCAATTAGTATCACAATAGCCGAAGTGAGACGTTATGTGAGCAAGTGAAGCCTCGATTGTTCTGCTCCTTAGACTAGGTACCCTTGTTAAACTTCTGTGTAACTGTGCCTCGCTGGCAGACTGTGGGGATTCTTGATGTCAATTTGTACGTGAAAATTCTTTGTGCAACAATTTATATATAATTCAAATCTTGTGAAACCAGTGTACGTTAAGAGACTGATTCTTGTACGCGAAAATGTTATGAATTTTACATGCCACATTCTTTCAGCTTATATTATAGAGCACGGTAGAAGTACAGTGTGGTAAATTAAATTGTAGTCAAATAATGGAAGGTGCTCTTCCATGACGATTGACGTCCGAGTCTTAGCTATGTATTTGTAATTTAAAAACACGAATGTACTCTATTAGGAATTGTTATTTATTATTATATATTTAGAACATTTTAATGCGTTGTCATTGTGTCTGGAACCTGCCTGTTGCCATGAATATATTGGAGTATTCGAACGCGTCGCCACATATCGGCGTCTTATCGTGTAGGGATATTATTTTGGCCTAAAATTATAATATTATGTAATATGTACGATGTTTAGAACGCCTGCTTAACCCCTTTTGATCAAATAAGATAGATTATGAGAGAAAGACTTAAATGAGGCCATCAATGACGTAATTAATGTTTCTTGCTGATGGCGTTGAGACGTAGCCATTGGGCTCATGGACTAGAGTGGCAAGACGAGCTGTCAAGTTGGCGCGTATTTGGGCAGATTTATGTATATATATTGTACGTATATATATATATATACATATGTATATATTATATATATGTATGTATATCATGTACGTATATATTGCCTTCGAACTGAGAGCGATGCAACGATCGAACCAAGAACGTTTGTGCCAAGAATGGTATTTTCAGCTGGAAAAAGAATTACTTCCATGTATTGTTTTTTCACTTTAGTTTTTTCGAATCACTAAACGTGTTTATATACTGACCATTCCTGAAGATGTGCTATTCTGAAACAGTTTATCGACTGAACATTTTATGCGAGAGTTTCGGACTCTCCTTGCTGACATATACAGTTCAGCCTCTGGAGTAATTCTGGTGCAGACATTACTAGAAGCCTATAGAAACTAGCAGCATAGATTCAATGTAGGTTGCTTGTGAAATGTACCTACAACATCAGAGATGATCTGTTCGTGACGTCTCGGACAATTTTACGAGCGGACTCGTGGTCTCCAAATTCAACGATCAAGGAATATCTCCCGAAAACTTTAACTACTGGGCCACCCTGCCCATAACCACACTTATAAATTCTGAAGAACTAGTATATACGAACAACAAAACTACTAAGAAGCAAGACGACCGAAACGCGTAACAAAGTTGATCGTAGTTGAAGAAGTTACTCTCCGAGTAACGGCTGAGTAAATGGCTCAGCCTGTACGGCTGAGTCAATCAGCTCCCACAAGTTGTAAACGACAGGAAACTGTCGTTCCCAAAATAAATTTCTTTTTATTAATCATTTGTACGATTTTAATGTATCACCCTACGACCCACTTCTATTTACGAGGTGGCGCGCATTGTGTAGTCGCGCCATGCACATTGCGTTCGGACCTATGATGAGTATGGGCTGCGCGAGTGAAGCTGCTCGTGGTCAGTCAGCGTTGTCAGATGGTATATTTCTATACCAGATTTCACAAACCTGGTATTTTCAGAAGGTGTCTGGTATGAATATTATAGATCAGTCTGGTATTCTGGTATATTTGCCTCTGAATCTGGTATTTTTATGGTATTTTCTGACTTACTGCAAATTTACTGCATTAAGTTCCACCTCAGAAGTTTGAACTTTCTCCACCGTAGGCGTGGATTATATAGATTACCTTCAAAACGGCGCGACTAAAGGTTTCCCGCCATTTTTCGAACCGCAAGTTTACCGCTTGATGAAATAACCCCAATCTAATTATTAATATTTAACAAAAGTGCTTAGTACAATATGAGCACGAGAGTGATGATCCTTGATTACTGATCAGTGATGATATGGCCTAGGTCTAGGACGAGTGAGGTTGTCGAACCAATCTCTGTGACACAAACTCGGCCATTTTTGTTTGGTGGTTTTGAAATCTGGAGTGTAACTTGAATTCTGGGGTGCCATTCAATATTTCACTGATCTTGAAAATCATCATCCATTCATGGAACTGGCTGCCTGCTGCATCACTGGTCTACTTTGACCTTTCTCCAATGCATTCGTGGAGCGAGTGATTTCACCAAGTCACCTATGTGAAAAACAAGCAACGAAATGAAATTTCAACTAAGGTGCTGGAGTCCCTTATTCGGACCAAAAGCTATCTGCTCAGCCGCAACAAGTGATCACACCCGAAATGTTAGATTAATGCAACGAGCAAGCATGTAGGAAAATAAGCAAAAGGAAGATTACCCGTTTCCGTGGCTTGCTCATGTTAAGCGAAGGGGAAGAAGTGCCACACTGTGATATAAAAAAAAGAAAGTGTCAATGTAATCAAACACAAGAAAAGAATAGTGTCAACATGTTCCAAACCGAGGGAAAATATATTACGTGTTTAATTTGGCTAATTATCGTCAAGCCACATAAGCACAGTACATAGGATAAAATTGTTTGGTCTTTTATAACCAACGTTTCTGACGAATAATTTCATTAAATTTTGAGGTAATACCTAGTCGGTTTTTGAACAATAGAATTTCTTGTTTATTTCTGGTATTTTGAGCTACGCAATCTGGTATTCTCGCCGAGAAAAAACCTGGCAACACTGCCCCAGGGCCAGAATTCCACTGTCCAGAATCCAGATGCAAGACTCAGTCACCCAGAAGCTGTTATAGGGTGGGGTTATGCAGCTCCATCGCTCATGACTAAATGCAGTCTTGGAGTTCTCCCGCCCTACGTGGGTTGAATTTCGATCCTCTTGTCCTCTGACTTTAGATAAACCTGCCCGACAAAAATATCTGCTGACCGTAAGCTTGGTAAATTTCAACAACAAAGGCTCGGCATATGAATTATTACAGTCTTTATCACTTAAAAAGTAGCGACACGTTGATTGATAGATAGAACGCATAACGATCGCTTTAGGCCAGGGTTATGTGTTTTTCGCTACCAAAGCGCTGCATCACCAATAGAGGAATTTTTTGTAGATAACTACAGAAAACTGTCACACCGGCACACACTTGAATTTATACAACTTCTTTCAAAATCCACACACGAGGTAGTGAACTTTTCGAAGCAGTTGCGAACGTGGAGAACATACTACAGAGCACCGACTTCATTTGAGATTTAATAGCTTCCCAGTTTAATTACAGATTAAGATAAAGACTGCGGCACTACGTAAATATCTATTTTCGAATAACCGTCAAAATGGCTTACATAGGGATTATACATGAATTGATAATATTTTCCAGTTCAGAAAGGTTCTTATTGCTATTCAATTTGTTACGTGGTAAAAACAGCCAATGTGACTTACGTAATACGTAATGAAATTCTGGTGGCTTTCTGCTTTATTACACACGTGTTCCTTTGTAGCTAGTAACGGATATGAGCGACGCATACGTAATTCAATCGCCCAATTGGATAATACTAAGATTAGTAGTCCAATTTATTCAGGTATGGCTACGCCGCTACGTATTAACACTTGAGAAACACTGCGACTCTTAAGTTGCGTATGACCGGCTGGTGTAGTGGACCAAGGGAGCATATGTTCAGTCTTAAAATGCCTAGCAAATTACGGACCAGGCAATAAGTCCAGCAGCTTTCTCAATCAATCGTCAGTTATGGAAAGATCGGGTTCCAAAGGCCGGATCCCTTGTGAATCAAGTCATGAAAAGTTCAAGAATCGGCAGCAGGCCATGGGCCTATTTCTTCAGCGCCGACACTTCTATTCCAAGGCACAGGATGGCAGCACTCGTGCAACCGACTACCTCCTGGGCACGGGTTCCATCCTCGGTCATTGACTTCATAGTTTCTTTGAACGCTAGCGCTTGAGGTATGAGTATCCAATGTTAATTCATTCTAAACGAAATATTGGCATGTATAGAAAACTGAACGAAAATATGTATGTGAATGAGCAAAGGGTGGACGTCTGTGGAGGAGAATCGATGAAATCTCAAAACATGAAAGGTGCTGACAAGCCCTATTCAGGCCGTCTTCCCTCTGAAACCGTTAAGAATTTTTTGCATCCGATAATAACTTCGATAGTTTGTGAAAGTCACCACCACACGGTCGATGTAGATTTCTGTAACCTCGTTTGGATTTTCTCCAATACGAAGTCTGAATTCGTCGTTCAATTAACCGTTGAGCGGACCGCCCACTGCTGCAGCCCTTGATCCATCTGTCTCTGAGAAAATAGAGACAGCCTAGAGAGAGGCCGCCACGCCTCGCATGTCTTATCGTGGATGCCGTGCTGGCCGAAATAGGCGTCCTGCTGCCACCTATCGAGTATGCGCGACAACGGCGTTCGTTATCACTGGCAATAGGCCGTCGCAACGGCGGCAAACATTTGCGACTAACTCAACGTCTGCGAATGCTGCTGCAGAGCATCGGCCTGTGTCGACCCGTAGTCCTGTAAACCTATTTAGCGTTCGTGTTACATAACACAACATAGCATAAAAATAACAACATAGTGATGTCGCGCTGAAGAGTAGGCCTGATGTTGCTGTCGCCGATTCATGTACTTTCCGTGACATGTTCACAGAAGATCTAAAATCGTGTCATTTGACCGGATATTATCAGGATTGACGATAGTTTGAAATAGATACTAGACTTCCACCGGGTTCGATATGGTGCTAGTGTTAATCGCCACTGTGCGCAGCCATGTCGCCGGTTATCGTTCGGCTGCCTCAACACCCGTTCGCTGAGTAACAAGGTTGATGAGTTTCTTCACATTTGTCGCTCGCACTCACTAGATGTCGTCTTCCTGACCAAGACCTGGCACGACGCTGACTCGGTTTGCATCGCGCGTATTCGCGCTGAAGGTCTCTAGTTAGTCGAGTGCGTGACCCAGCATGCAACCCGACGCACTGGCGACGAATTACTTACCGTATCAGCTACGAATTAGTAGCTACCGTAATAAGTAGCTACCGTATGCTACTTAAGATATTTAAGCATAAATTACTCTCGGGACACTAGGGACCGTATTAGCCACGAATTAGTAGCTACCATATGCTACTTGAGATATTTAAGCATAAATTACTCTCGGACACTAGGGGCCGTATTAGCTACGAATTAGTAGCTACCGTATGCTACTTAAGATATTTAAGCATAAATTACTCTCGGACACTAGGGACCGTATTAGCTACGAACTAGTAGCTACCGTATGCTACTTA